TACACAGAATAGTTTAAGTTGGAAGAGACCTTCAAAGGTCTTCTAGTCTAACCCCCTGCAATGAAATGGGACATCTTCAACTAGATCAGGTTGCCCAAAACCCCATCCAACCTGACCTTGAATATTTCTAATGATAGGGGGAATCTGCTTCCTCTCTGAACAACCAGTTCCAATGTTTCAGCACCTTACTTGTAAAAATTTTCTCCCTTAAACTTAGGATGTTAAAAAATATACCCTATTTTAGTTTAAGATCATGACCTCTTGTCCTATGCAAAAGCCTAAACGTTTTGTCCCCATCTTTCTTATAGGCTCCCTTTAAAGACTGAAAAGCTGTAATAAGGTCTCACTGAAGCTTTCTCTTCCCCAGGAAGCACAACCCCACACAATTTCTTCATAGGAGAGGTGCTCCAGTCCTCTGATCATCTTGGTGGCCCTCCTTTGGACCTATTCCAACAGGCCCATGTCCTCCCTGTGCTGAAGACCCCAGAGCTGGATGCAGCACTGCAGGTGGGCTCTCACCAGAGTGGAGCAGAGGGGCACAATCCCCTCCCTCGCCTGCTGCTTTGGATGCAGCCCAGGACACAGTTGGCTTTCTGGACTGTGAGTGCAAGAGAGTCATGTCCAGCTTTTCATCCAGCAGCAGCACCCACAGTCCTGCTCTGCAGGGTTGCTCTCAAGCCCTTCTCCCTCCTGGCTGTATTGATCCCAGGGATTGCCATGAGCCCAGTGTAGGACTCAGCAGGCTGAGGGCCCTTGTTAGCACTCTGTCCCTCTAACCTTGGTGTGTCATCCCTCAGCTTGTCCCAGGCAAGCCTGGCATTATCCCGCTCCCCCTTCAAGTCTAGTTTAAAGCTCTGTCGACAAGCCCCACCAACCTGTGAGCGAAGACCCTATTCCTTAATTATGGAGGAAATAATTTAAGGTTTAAATTTGGCCACTCTTCAGCATCAGACTGAATTTGACCCACAGCCACTGAACACCATTGAAAAGAAAGCTGCAAAATAATCAGTTATGGGGCTGGAAGAAAATTTCCGGGCAACGTTTCTGAATTCTTTTGCTGTAGTACTGTCATCTTTGTTAATACTTCTTTTAGCAATGAAACTGCTTTGATTTGGGTAGAACTCAGAACTTCTCTGCTTTCTTAGAAAAACAAAATTATGCTGATATGTATTTTTTCCTTGTGCAGGCTGCATTTGTTTGCACACAAGATGTGAATAATGAAGGAGTCTACAAAATTCAGCTGGCGAAAATTTATCAGAGTTTGCAAGAAACAAAACAAACACAAAAACAGCCCATCAAGTAAAAATGGCTGATTGATGCAAAAGGCAACACAGATGGAGGTAATGGGGTTTCAAAAGAGAAATTAGAGAAGATCTGAATGGAAGCTCGTAAATCTGCAGCAATTCAGCTTTGCCAAGAATTGCAGTGGGAAATCCTCATTATGGGAGATATTTCCATTCTGTACTCACCCATGAGAGCTTTGCTAGGGCAACCACAGGGAAAGCAGGAGACCCAACCATCAGCATTCCTGAGCCCTGCCAGCCTGCACTGCTGACTCACAAGGCAGCCTTGAGTGAGTCACTCATTGCCAGATGCTTCCACCTGACCTTGTCAAGGTGCTGCAAACAAGGAAGCAAAACAGACTCACCTTTGGCAACTCTGGCAAACAAGTTTTATCATGTTGTATTCCAGCTTCCCCCACACCACCAGTAAGCAGTGTGCCCAAAGAAGAAGCTTTAGGCCAGACCAAGCCACTTTTGGGGCTGGGAGCCATTGCCCTGGTGTGGCAGACACATAAAGGAGTTGTTTGTAACAGAGGAGGACTTGACTGTTGCAAAGGAAATATGATAACTGGTAGAAAGTTCTTTCTATGCAGAAAGTGGAGAACCTGGTTGGTGGAAAGCCCTTTGTACACAGTGGGAAAGATCAGTGAACAAGGAGGAATGCAGAGTCTCATGGAGGTAGCCACATAAACATATGAACTAACCTCCTAGCACACAAGCTCAACTGAAGGACTTAGAGGCTGGTCTTAAATCTTCCACCAAATGAGGAAAATATCACCGCTTCTAACAGTGGGCTAGTGAATCCAAGAGGGTTACAAAATCTGGGGATTTTTCTGTTTTATTCCACCAGTTTTCTCACTGGAGGGCACACCACATTGCTAGTCTGGGAAGGGCAGTTCTTGGTGTGACAATCTATCTCAAGGCAATTGCTGTGTCATGCTCTTTCTCTTCTATGGGATCAGATGTGGGCAGCCTGATCTATGTTAGAAAAACATCATCAAAAGTTTCTGAAATAATTCACTTGAGACTGAATTTTCCTGAGGGTTTTTCTCTGTAGTGTCTCTCTGTAATATCTCTTGTACCACCACCTCTGACCACTAACACTGGGCTGGACTGACGTGACTTGCAAAGCCTAAAGAAAGAGCTGAGACCTGGGTGGTGCGTGGTCAGACCTGCAAGCTCAGGGGAGAAGGAACCATAATCACCTTAATCCTTGCCTAAGCTTCATCTCCCCTTGCCTCCCAGCACTGGCTCTGGATCAAACTTCCCTGTTTCATGACAGGAGACAATGCCATTAATCACATTGCTGCTTCCAGTATTTATACATAGAAAAATCAAGCTGTGTTCCAAGTTATTGAAAATCCATCATGAGTGCCAGCAGAGGGTTAGTTCTAGGCTGCAGCTGCCCGGATACCATTACTGGTAAGGATCCTTACTATCAGCTGTAGGGGAAGATTCTTGGGCTGGAGAGGAGGGGACACAAGAGATTGCCTTGCAGTCCTGTAATCCGGGGTTTAGAGTTAGCCCACATCTCATACAGAGTCATATCAATGCCATTAACGTCAGTGTCTTCAGTGCTTCCCCCCACTTTGCCCATCTTCCCCCATGCTCAGTGAGGACTGTGAAATGCAGGAGGACTTGGGATGTGCCTGTTGGGCTGATGAAGGTAACCTGGTGTGAGTTATATGGTTCCTGTTTTCTGTTACTGTGACGGTTCAGTGACACCTGAAAGCTCCAGGAAGTGATTCATAAAAACACATTTGCAGCAGGTTAAGGTGCACTAAATGAGCTGCAGGAAGAGGTGGCAAGAAATCGTGACTGGTACAAACCCAGCTATGTTCCACCAGCAGCACAGAAAGCTGTCCTGAGCTGTTGGCACTAACCCAACAGGCCAGGCTGTATTTTAGGAGGTGTGTCTGCACACCAGGCTGCAGATCCTCCCCAGCATCCAGCAGTCACCCAGGTAGGGGATGGACATCCCTCTGTGTGAGGTCTCACCCTGACACCACAAAGTACTCCACAGGAGCAAGTCTTCATTCTGAGGGAGAACCTCCGTGCAATAAGTGCCTCTCTTGTTTCTGCTCTGTGACTCTGTTAAAAAAAACAGGCTAGTGAAATACACTTGCCAGTTTTAATCCCTGGATAGCACAGTGAAGCCTTATGTTCTTTGTGCTGCTTCCAGCTACAGCATTAGCTTTGCTAAACATATTAAGTGTTAGAATTTTTCTACTCTCTTGGTAGAAACAGAGAAAAATAATACTTATGCTGGAGCTAACCCGTTTGAACCAGTGAAACACTGAAAACTCCCAGTTGTCTTTGAATAGAAACATTTCAAAGTATTGCCTAAATATTTTGGAACAATATTCAAACTATGTTTTGTGAGATATTTTATTTGATGTTTGCAAAATATTTGATGTCTGCAAGCTATTGGATTTAACTCTCAGCTCATGTTGAGCAGTAAGCAACATGCTTTTTGGCTGCAGGACTAAAGCTTTCCTCCTGACAACTGGTGATTTGCACACCATTTTCTTTCTTTCTTTGCATTTCTGCAGGTAATTTATGCTAAATTAATGAAGCATTTGCAGAATAGCTTCTAATCACCAATAGAAAAACCATTACGCTATCTCAGAAGTTGCAGTTAATGAAATTATGTGGTTTTACTTGCAGTGCACCTAACTGCCTTATTTGCTCATTGAAAAGAGGTATAAGCTTATTTTCTCTTTCTGAAACTATTAATGGGCATACTTTCAGTCACAGCCAGGGTTGTGTATATTATGTGACCAGCTGTCTTGTTAAATTCCTCTGAGCAAATCATCATTTAGAACTGGAGGTGAAATTCTTCTGCAGCCAGTGGGCGTAGCAAGTACATATCCGAGACCTGCATTGTCCCTGTTGAATCGAACTGTCCAGATCCTTGGAGGACCAAATGGAGCAAGGGGAAAATGGAAGCCACAAATTGCAGTACCAGTAATGGGCTGGTGTGTTGGAACGATATAGACACATGTGCTTTTTGGATACATAGCCACTTTCCAGTGATGAGACTAGCTGGGGAAAGTGGTGACATTTGAGAGGCTGGGAAAGAGATGTAGCAACTGGAGTGGGAGAGCATGACTGTATCCACTGTCAGAGTTTCAGTGCACCAAAGCCAGGGTGCCTCACCCCATAATGACACAGCTAAATGGAAAGATTTTGTTTCTTTTGTGTCTCCACCCAGTTAGATAAAGATATGGCTAATGAAAGCCAGGTCACACCTGTCTACTGGCACCCTTTCCTCCCTCATTACTCTTGTTACCTTCACAGATTTATTGATTTATCTCGGCATAGAGATAAAGGGGGTTCTTTTTGTTTGTTTTCTGTTTTCTCTTTAATTTTAGAGGAAGTGTTTCATACCTGAAAGGTACAGATTACAGTTGCTTTTACTTTCTCTAAACTTAACTTCAGTGGAAAAATGGAAGCTGCTGAATCTGTTGTGTTTGATCCTCTAGAGAATAAATATGTAAATAAAAAGTTGTGGCTGCACAGATTATGGCCCTCTGACAACAGCTGATTAAAAGCCATGAAGTAAAACCAAGGTACCTTAAGCAATTTCATTAAATGAAAAAATATTTATGTTTCTGGCTTTAATATTTTCACAGATCTTTTTATCTTTTGTATATTATGATTTAAAGGAATTTTAATTCACCTCAAAATACTTGTTAATTCAATAGAAATACTTCATTGTCTAGTATACCTGGTTCTAGACCTGCGTCTTTTATCAATACCTTTTCTGAGGAAGTCCTACTTATTTCTAACAGACAACCCAAATCAGGATAACAGAGTTTAACCTACAATGAATTAGGAATGCAGGCATGGCTCAGCTGAGGAAGAACAGGTTTCATTTCATTGTAGAATTACCTGTTCTGAAGCAAAAAGCCTCCTTGAATGTACTGGGTGTTCAGATGAGAGGATATTTTTTCAACTTCAAGCCTACAGCAGAATAATAAAAGTCCTCATGTTGAAACTACAGGTGCTTCATGCAACATTGAGTAAATTACTCCAGAGTGAGTTTGGCTGGGGAGAAGGGGCAGTCTTTTATTCATTGCACAAGCACCTCAGTCAGTCTGTCTGCTCAGGTTTCTGGAAACCTCTGTGGTCTGATTCACTATTTCCTTACTGTTTGTTTTGGGACTGGGAGTAACTATGCAAACATGATGTTGATGCAATGTTGTAGGGAGTATCGAGGCTAATCCCTGCATTCAACTTCTGAACATGTTTGTGGAGAGCAAGGGGTTGGATTCCTTGCTGTCATCTCTCCTGTGCTAAGACTACGGAGATACAGGCACCCACAGTTTTTACACTTATTTTCTAACTAAATCACCACATGCAAGCCAGTGAAAAAGAGAACTTCTAGTGTACAGTGAAATGTTCTGACAATTGGCATAAGGACATAGTACAAAAAACGTATTTTCACACAAAACCTTTTTGCCAATTTGCAGCTTCTAAGAATTCGTTGTTGTCTTCAAAAGAATCTGAGATAGTCAGGCTAACATCTTGGTTTTGGTATGGATGGCTTGGTGCTTTCAGGGAAGAATTAGAATTTCCTTCCCTCCAAATTTGTTTAAATATGTCCAAAGATCTAGTAGTTCTACCAGGCCTTGTCTGGTGACTCAGAGTTTTTGTTGGGGGGCCAGTACTGGGGCCAGAAACACACTTTTAGAGACCTGTGCAACTTTTTAATATGCAGCATCCATCTCAATTAATTACCTGTGAGCAACATCTTCCATAGGTCAGCTATGAAGGGATCCATTCAGCACCCTCAGATATGGAAGCCTGCAGCCAGTTTGGCCACCAGACATCCTTACCCTTTTCTGCTGAGAAAGAAGCAGGATTCAATACAACAAGTACATTATTTACAGTAGCAGAAAGTGTGAAGGAAATAAAAAACAACAAACCTTTCAGACCTGCTTTCCAGTTCCTGATTCTCCAGGGAGTGTTGTGTTGATTTTGGAGACATTTATGAGGGAGGATTTAAAGTTTCCTTTAAGGACTGCAGAGTTTCTAAGGGTGGGGTGGATGGTGTTTGCAAGTCTTTTTAGGAAAGAAAAGCGTGACTTGTATCTCTCTGCAGACAGTGCCACTTTCAGTTGCAAAGCAGTGGCATGGAGACCAGAAAGGTTTCCTATTTAATCTCCCAGCCAAAAACTACAAACACATGAGTAGTTCTCTAGAAAAACACAGCTGAAAGATTGTACTTCCTGATGCTGGCTATGGAATATCAAATTGTACGTGGCCATGCTTTGATTTTGTAAAATGTACATGGCCTGCAGACAGCAGGACAGAAGTCCATGGGACTCGGGATGCATTCGAGGTGCTAAGAGAGACAGCCATGGCTTTTCACCATCTTTGGAAAGCTGTGGGCATCGGGGAAGGCCTGCAAAGAATGGCAACATGCAAATGTCACACCTGAAGTGTGAGAAAGGATCCAAGGAACTGCAGGCTGGTTGGCCTAACCTGGAAAGATTACAAGCATATCTTCTGGAAGCTGAAGGACAGATAACTGGGAACAGCCAGCATGGGCTTAGCAAGGACAAATCATGCCTGCCCACCCTGTGCTGCAATGGCAGACTCTGTGAACAGGGGGAAAGCAGTGCTCATTACAAAGATATTAAACAGTACTGGCCCCAACAATGACCTCTGAGGGAGGCCACTAGCAACCAGCTGGAACTCTGTACCTCTGACCACAAGTCTTTAAGCTCGGCAATGCAGCCAGTTTTCCACTCACCATGCACTCTGCTCATTTGTTTCAGCTCTAAGGATATTATGAGAAGCTGCAGTGAAGGTCAAGATCAAATCAAGAGGCAGCTGGCAGAGGTTGCAACAAAGGCAATCCCAATCAGATAAAAGGAAAACCAAACCTCATGGGGCTGGGGGGGAGTGTTTGATTCTTATTCAGGAACCCCTGTCCTTGGAGATCCTGATAAGACAGCTATCCAAGGCCCTAAGCAACATGTTCTGAGAGAACCACATTCCAGCAAAGGGCCCCAGTAGATGGAAGGCACCCAGACAGGTCCTTTCCAAACAGAATTATTCTATGATCTGCACTGTATTATAGTATGTGTTTGTACGTAGGTGTGCAGGAGACTTCCAGCACCATCTCTGGCCTTCTGTGGGAGGCTGTTTTGTACCTTAAAACAAAACAGTTGTGTCTGGCTTTCTCCAAGTGAAGAGACAACCTTCTGGGAGCTCATGGTTTTGTTTCCACTTCTGTTAGGGAGATGTCAGAATCATCAAAGTCAGCACTGTGTGCAAGACTAATTACTGCCTATTTGAGAAAAGAAATATGGGGCTGTATTGCCTTCTTACAAGGGCAGGTGTGGAAGCTGTCTGGGAAATGGGAGAAGGTCTGTGCTCTCCTGCAGAGGAAGATCTGAAGAACAAAGCTGTCAGTCTACTGCTTATCACCCCCAATACACATCTCTTTTGTGTGTGAATTGGTATTTGCTCCATGCCTGACCCTGCTCTAAAATGAAAGATAATTATATTTCAACATATTCTTGCCATGCAGAGGCAGCTAAAGAGAATTAACAGCAATGATAGACCCATGGGGAACAGCAGTGAGGGGCAGTATGTACTTTCCTCTGTCCTCCAGACAGGAAATAGAATAACCTTTAAGGGTTCAGGCATCAAACATTTCTGTGACATCATCAGTGTTTAATCTAAACAACTCATGTTGATATTACCCCCAGGATCACGATAGAGATAATGCCTGTGAATGGGTAGGAAGGCTCCACACTGTGGGGCTACATCCATGTCCATTTTATCTCATATCTGATGACATAAGCACTCGTATCTGTGCTCATTCTGGTTCTTAGAGGTACATCTAGTAGGGCACTTCTGAGCTATTTTACAGCAAACCCATCTACACTGAGATTCCCCCTGTGGTCAGAGGAGAGATATAGGTATTTTCAGGGAGTAATTTCTCTCTTTCAATTGCAGAGTAGATTATACAACTTCCTGTTTCTTCCCAGCTACTGAAAAGGAAGTGTGGGTGCCACGCTCAAATGCAGGAATCTTCAACATGAACATCAAGAGTGCAGATTCATCTCACCCTGATTTTAGGGTGTTAGAAAATTGCTCTGACTAGCCTCCCACAGAATCCCACAGCTCAGTGCCCAGCCCTTGCCCCAGCTATGTTGTAGTTGTACCTGTGCCCTCTGCCCCATCCCCTGCTGATCCAGACTTGCTCCCAGGACTCCCCACATTGATTGATTCCTTGCCTGCTGCTACCCTTCGAAGGGCTTGATCCAATCACCTCAGCTCTAATGCCATTTGGTGTTGGTTATCTTGTTTTGTTGTGAGCTGATGCTCCAGGAGTCTCCCACAGGTCTGGCACCAGCCTCACAGGGATTTCACAACAACCCAGGGGGTCTGAAAAGGTGTCAGACATCAATGGGCAGGCAGCTGGACTGCACCTCAGGCGTCTAAAGCCCAAGTGTCTGTGTGAGAGCAAGGTGTCTAAGCTCTTGGTACAGGCAGTAAGGATCTAGACCCTATAGATAGTGGAGTCTGGAGAGCAATTTGACTGACCAAATGTTGGGATCAACCTCAGGAACAAAGTAGCTTGCAAGGCTCTACCAACTCTATGGGCTTGGTCTTCCTTGCCTACCACTGGAGTTTAAGTTGTTGCTCACATTCAGGTGCTATAACTAAGCTAAATCCCACCACAGAAAAAATGTATGTTTTTCTAATACATTTATGAGAAAAATATTAAAATGATCACTCTTTGTGTTAAAAATTATGATTTTCATCTGAAACGTATGGAAAGGCAAAAGTTTTGTCAATATTAAAAGTTCAGTCACTGTGTCTGTACATGCAATCACACACTCCAAAAGTATTATATACACTCTCACAGAACACATCCTTTGTTTACAGTCATATGGATTTACAAACACTCCCTGGAAGAACAGGGACATGGTCATTGTATACAATATATTTTTTGTTTCCGTAAACTGTTAATGTGGAGTTATAAATAATAATTTGGGATACTTCACATATGGTTTTCCGCATTTTGTGATTCTATCTCTCCAAGTAAATGAAAATATCAGTAGTGTAAAATAATGATCTCTTTTTGCCCGGTCTCCTCTGCTCAGTTCTACAGTATTGTTATACGCTCCTCTGTTGCCATAGAAATGATTGATATGTCCAATCATCACATTCTTGCAATACCCTTGCCTCTACATATTATGTATTTTGCCCTTTAAAGCAGACTCTCACTTGGCTTTTTGATATTTTGTATTATGTTCTGCAGAGACAACAACAATGAAACACACAAACGAAAGAAAGAAAATAAAAAAGAAAACTTTGGCTTTGAGAAGACTGAAATGAGTTCTAGAGACAGTTACCTGTATTACAGTACTGTGAATATCCATGATTTTACTGTAACCCTTTGACATTTGTTGCTCTTATTAACTCCTAGCTCTGGCAAGCAATGACTTTGTGAGATTCTTAGCACCTCCTCATGCAAAACAAATGTTTGCTGTGTCTAAAGCTTCCTAACTATGGAACATTAAACACAAAAGAAATTTAAAGACCTGCCTTTTGGGGGGCCTGATAATTCTAGGGGGAATGAATTATTATTTCTGCAGATTTGTGTTTCCTTCTCAAGAAAGCAGAAGAAAAAAAGAACTAGTCAAGCTCTTCTTTGACATGACGCAAAGACTAGCAGAATGATGAATTTAATTTTGCTTCACATGTTCCAGGACTGTGAATACAAGCTGGCTACTTCCAGACTCAGATGTCTTTTCCACAGCACTTTAGGAAATACCTAAAAATATAAAGAGCTGCTTGGACTTCCTTTTCACTGAGTTCCAGGTCCCCCCCAGCAGTGCCTGTAGGGATATGGCACAGACAAACCCCCCCTTCCCTACCTCTGGACAATAATCCTTTCCCCCTGCCCCGGTCCTTTGCTCAGAGCCCCGTGGTGATCCCCCTGCACAGGAGAGAGGGTTTCTGTCCACCCCAGGCATTCGAACACGAGTGCTTTCAGCCCGGAGCAAAGGAAACCAAGGCAAGCCAGGTTTTAGGCGAGGGGGCTGCATGGCTTTGCAGCCCCTGCTTCCTCCTGCCGAGGTGCTCAGCACTCGGTGCACGCCCCAAAGGATGGCACAGCCAGCAGCAGAAAAGTGTAATTCCCACAAAGCCTGCTCGGACCTCTGAGCTGCCCCCGAACCTCCTCAATCTCCTGCTTCTTTTGGGGGCTTGGCATCCTGGAGCTGCCTGTAGTACCGATGGCTATGAAGTGCCACTAGGTGGCCCGAGATTGAACCTCTGCAGGCAACAGCTTTCAGTGGGATGTGCGTGTGTGGGGGCAGGAATTTGGGAATTATCCTTGGGCGGTGAGCACCACCCTCATCGCTTCTGAGATTTTTAGATCTCGGTTGCAGATGCTGGAGGAGGGAAAGGGGCATCCCAGCAAACCCTCTGAAATGGGAACGAGCTTATTTCTTATTTCTCACGTGAAATGAAGCACAGAATTTTCTCCTGAGAATTGGGACTAGTGGTAGCCTGGAGCCTAGTAGAACTCCCCGGAATACCAGCCATGCCACCGCCCCAAATAAAAACGTGTATTGTTCTTCTCTTTTAAACGCTTTCAAAGGCAATTGCTACCATCATCAGGAACTTTTTTTGACACAGGTAAGCTTTGAGAACTCACCGTCGATGAGAGGTCTGAATCCAACATACCGGAGGAGAGAAGGGCTTTCACAAGCCCAGCGTGATGACAAGGGTGATCCCCAGGCATCAGTTTTATGCCTGTCGCCCTTCTAAGCTCTTTCTCAGAGGTGCCCTGAAGTAATTGATCACTCCCCATTTCTTTCTCGGTTCCCCCCAGACCAAGCCTCTGTGTTTTCTGCCTGCCCTCGTTTCCTGCGGGCAGCAGAGCTGCCTTGGCACAGAGCTGTGCCGGTGCTGGGACGTGCGGTACCCAGCCGAGCTCCCCCATCCCTGCGGGGATGCCGGAGGATGCTGCGGGCAAGGGCCGGGGGCAGCAGGGAAGGCGGGATGCTGGGCCAGGAGCTGCCTGGAAAACCTCGCCCTGCTCCCTCGGGAGGCCAGGGCTGAGTTTGTCAGGGTGTCAACACCTCAAAGGCAAGGAGGAGGAGGGGGAAGGAGGAGATAGAGACATCGTTGAGCAAGAAGGTGCAAATAGGTGCCATCAGCCGGCTGTTTGAGCTATAAACAACTGCGGAGATGCTGTAGCTATGCTAAACAGTTGGCCCATCCCCCTCCTGTGTTGTTCCCATTCCTCCTTCTCTCCTCCACAGTCAACAGGGCTTTGGCCAGCGATACCTTCCCTGGCATTTTGGATTCGATTGGAAAGCAATCTGTGTCCTATGACACGCAGGCAGGCGAGCACAGCAACGCCGGCAAGTCAAGCGTGGGACTTGGAAGTGAAA